ACTTAAAATGTGTCTCATAGACAAAACTTTAATATGCAAGCTTCTTTAATATGGACAATTAATGACTTTCCTACATATGGCATGTTGTCTAGTTGGGGTACACATGGAAAAATGAGATGTCCATATTGCATGTCGTCTATGTTTATTCCTATGCCACTCTTGAGTCAGGTGCATCCTACTCCACCGCCTATGTAGACTTCACCCTTGTTTGGTAGATCTTTCGCCAGATTACTATCCATACTTGATTTGTTTACATTCCCACTGATATTTGCATCGACCTTTATTAGTCCTCCTGGATATGCATCCCAGCATCCTGCATCACACATATTTTCCGATGCCTTCCATGCAGTCGAGTGGCCCTAGCTTTCCGATGCCTTCCATGTAGTCGAGCGGACCTAGCTTTTCGATGCCTTCCATGCAGTCGAGCGGGCCTAAATTTCCGATGTCTTCCATTCAGTATTTTATGCCATATATGGAGGCTGATGGATCTAGCATGCCACATTCATCACCCATGCAACATTATATGCCACATATGGAGGCTGGTGGATCTAGGATGGCTTATTTATCACCTGTGCATTCTACGCATGATGAGAAGGATGACGAGGATGATACTAATGCTCATGATCATGGAGGTACCAGTTCTTATGATCGTGGAGATACTAGTGCTCGTGAAGAGTGAAGGAGGACGTGCATTCTGAGAAATGCAAAACCCCAAACAATTAGGAAATACAAGGGCAAATATGTCATTCACTGCGATGGAGGAAGGTATGTTTTATATATATTTTTTTTAAATTTAAATTTGAGTTTTTTTTTAATGTTAATACTAACTCAAGATTTTGTTGTTTAGCCTTATACCATCACACCAGACAGTATCGTGTATAACAGAAGTTATTAAAGAAAAGTATAAAATGTTTTAGCCGACATATGAAGCACTTCTCGAAAAAGAGAAGGAAGATTGGTTTAGTTTATTTCACGTATAAAAAAGTAACTATTACTTTAATTTTCTTTATATTTACTTTATTTCATGATTATACATTATTTAATCTTTTTTAAATTCATAAAACAATGTAGGAGAAATGTGTTTGGGACTTTTCAGAGCAGCAACAAGTAAGAGAAAATTTTGATACAAAATGTGTTGCCCGATTATCTGACACGCTTAGGCGTGTTCGAATTATGTGAAAAAAAGGAACACGTCCTTGTTGGAAAGGTGAAGATGTATTTAAGTAGATTATTGACCATTGAAATTCGGAAACCTTTTAAGCAGGTATCTGAAATAGAAAAAAAACAGGGCATCTGAAGTTGGTGGCTGCAACTACGTAGCAGGTAGTATTAGTGTTGCTGAAATTGCACACAGACTGATAAATTAATTTATGTTTTTACTTAAATTTTCATTTAAAATTTAGATTAAAACTAACTATTTTTTCACTTATATTTTATTTTATTAGCGTGATGAGTTGGGTAGAACTCAGATGCTTAATGAGATCTATCTAGAGACTCATATCAAGAAAAATGGGGAGTTTGTCGATAAACGCTCAAAGGACACTCAAGTATGTTTTTCTAACATTTAGTCATTTTATTTCTTTCTTTTATGTACCTATCTTATTTAAATTATTATGATAACATCTAACTTATTTATTTTTTGTAGGAGTAGTATGATAGAAAACTTGTTTTTTTTTATCTGAGCATCCTGAGTTACCTCCACCGCCACAGGAATATCCTATTGATCCTTGTCTAGGCTTTCGAACTTGGTATGATGATGCTCCCAGGAAGAGGGAAAGGAGGAGGGTGTATGGTACTGAAGGGTGTGCCAAAACAATTAAGCGACGTGATAGGACTTTCAAAATGAGACTTGATGATGGAGAAGGATCATCACGTCCACTTATATTAACCATTCACTACAAGAAATATTGCCTTTTCCCAAGTGATATTCACGTCACTAATGTAAATATCACTTCACTAGCCAATGGTTGCGACGTGGGTAAAACACGCCGGAAATGCAATGGTGGGAACTTTTTCCCACGTGGAAAACACGTCACAAAGTTGTGACAAGATTACCACGTCGCAAATCACAAAATAAAGAAGAAAACTTCCCACGTGAAAACCACGTCACTAATTAGTGACGTGAAAGTCATGTGGGAACTTACCTTTACCAAATTGCTCTGCACGCTTTCCTGACACAAAGTAAATTTAGTACCCATGTGATTCCCACGTTACAAAGTTATGACCTTGTTATCACGTGGGAAACCTCACAGAATTAATATTCTTCCCATGTGATTCCCACGTCACAAATTAGTGACATGGGATTCACTTCACTATTAAATTTAATTATAAAAAAAAATAATACTAACTGAAAGCTACTATAAAATTAAAATAAAAATTAAATATTAAATATAAATTTAAAATTAAAATAATTTTTAATTAAAATAATATACATTTAAAATATATAAATATTTAGTCACATGAAATTCACGTCACAAATACAAATAATAATAATAAAAGTTGTGACGTAATATTCACGTCACAAATAAAAATACTAATAAAAAAAATTATTCTTCGCCACTAAATAATTCATCTTCGTTTTGGTCATCATCTTCGGGAGAATAATTCGATCTCGAGGCAAAATATTTTCGCATTTGTGCCTCCATGTCTGATTGTCGCTTCCTCATTTCCTCTATTTCAGCATTTTGTCTATTTCTCATATCATCCATTTCGGCCTTTAGGGATGCCTCACGTGTCTCCGCCTCTCGTCTCGCCTCAGCTAGAGCTAATTGTCTCACTGTTGCCAACATTTCTGGTGTCAATTCTGCCGGACGCGATCCTCCTTCCCCATCATCGAGTCTTTGAAATAAAGTTCGGTCCCCTTTTCTATAATCACCAGCCAAAGACCCCAGACCAAAAAAACATTCATTAACTCTCTTCCCGCCTACTGTTAAATTCCAAATATAAAGATCAACGTGCGGATCAAGCGGTGCATCCCCAATCGGCGTATATTGAGGATTTTCAGTTAGAAATTGGGCAAGCAATGTCTGGTACAACTCCTACACACACATTAAAAAAAATTAAATTAAATATAATTTAAAAAATTAAATTATATAGTAATTATGAAATTAAAAGAATTCAACTAAAATAAACTAGTTACCAAGGTTGATTTGGAACGACCGTCAACAAAGTCACCCGATTTTTTGGTTCGAGTCTTCACAAATAGCTCATTAATTCGTGGCTCCCTCCCCAAGTCCTTTTTCTAATTAAAATAATGTAGATTTATTAAATATATATAATAATACAAAAAAAAAACTTTAAAAAATAGTTATAATTACCATTCGTCGACGATGTTCGCCGATACTGATACTTCCAACTGTATTAAGACAGCCACCTGCTTCAGATGCCCTCATCTTTTTAGCATGTTCAGATCTTCTCTGAAAATCTTCTGTCTTCCACCACTCAACAAGTTCACCAAATATTTCCTCGCCTATCCAGTTAGGACGAGTGTGATCTCTTTCCCAACGTTGTCTAGCATTCCTAAGCATGTCAGATAATCTGCTAGATACCTTACTTTTGAATTTTTTTTTAATTTTGAACTCGTCAAATTTCTGCCAAGTACACCTTTCCTGCAAGTTATATGACAGTCAAATAAAATGTTAGATATATATAACAAAAAATCGTTATAAAATAACATAACTATAATAAAAATACACATTACCTTGAACTTATCAAACCATATATTTGTCTCCTCATCTGGGAGCTCTCCGAAAGACTTAATGAGTTTTGTATACATCAATTGAATGACCCAGTTTACAGCTTTAGCAGCAGGACGACACGGATCAAAACTAAACAACAATAATTTGAACGAGTATTAAACATAAAATGACAATATATAGCTAAATAAATATTATAAATTAAAAACATACCCAGATCCCTCAGGCCTAATCAAATGTCGTCCTTCAACCACCAAATGCTCCTCTGCAACAGGATTTGTCTGCTCCTCATGAACATCGCCATCCCCCTGAACAGTGTGGTCATCCTGCTGCTGACTCGCAGGTATATGTGTGGGGTGTGGAATGCGGGAGCCAGATCCCTCTGGCTGGTGCGTGGAGGGTGTCGGTTGAGGAAAACTAGATCCTGAAGGTTGCGGCGTGAAGGAATACTGCTGAGGAAAAACAGTTCCCACAGGCTGTGCGAAGTGAGTCTGCTGAGGAAAACTAGATCCCCCAGGCTGCGGCGCAAAGGAATACTGCTGAGGAAGAAAACTAGCTCCCCCAGGAAAACTAGATCCCCCAGACTGCTGCGTAAACGTAGATGGTACCCCAAGCGGATGCATGAAGGATCCCCCAAACGGACTAATAAACGATGGATTCCCAGATGGAACTGTTTGGGAGGAGGAGAGTAATGTCGTAAATGGCTGTGAAGTGTCTATGGACATTAGATCTGCCTGAGACTGTGGGCGAGAAGCATACATGGGCGAGGGCGGTACCTCACGTACTCTGGCTCTCGAACGAGGCTGGGTCTCCTTAGCCTTACCCTTGTCAGTTCGGGGTGGGATTGTATCTATTTTGAAATAGTTATCAATAAATAAATAATATGTAAATAAATCAAGAAAACTCTTCATGCTCTTCGTAAATAAATAATACGTAAATAATACATTTGCATTCATATAAAATAAATAATACATTAATAAAAATTGTCCGAACACATATAAAACTATCTATTTAAACTTCATGTTCTTCGGCCGTATTATTTTCATCATCTGATCCAATAATGTCCTCAGATCCAATATCTTCATGCTCTTCGTCCACATTATTATCTACCAACAAAACAGACACATCAATTTGATGACCCTCGACCAATGTATCACACAAATTTGTAATTTCTTCAACTTCAACCACATCATTAATTTGAGAAATTTCATGGTCTTGGTAAGCAGCATCTTCCACTAGATCGTCAGTTTCAATATGACCCAATGGTTTTGTTTTGATTACAACACACCATCCACGTTTACGTGACTAAATTGAAGGGTACGGAACATAATAAACTTGTTTAACGATATGTGACATTATGAAAGGGTCATACTCTTTGTACCTTCTGTCCATTCGAATATCAACAATGTTATATTTCTTATCTATTTTTGTGCCCCTGGAAGATGGATCATACCAATCACAATAAAACAAGACAACTCTATTTTCCGAGTCCAAGTAATTGTATGCCAACTCGTAAATATGTGTAACAACGCCATAGAAGTCGTCTTCACCACCATTTGTAACTCCTTTAGCAAATACACCAATATTTATGGTTTTTTTCCCTTCAGTCCACTTCTGGGTGTGAAATTTATAGTCGTTCACAAAGTATGTGTGCCATTCAATTGCTCTTTGAACAGGCCCTCTAGATAAGTTACGCAAATGAAGTATTTCTTGAGTCGGTGCAACAATGCATGACAATTGATCCCTGAACCATGCTGGAAAAGATGCATGTATTTGACCGATAGTTGCTTGTTCACCGGTGCTTTGAAAATAGGAGGCGTTAAATGCCCTATAAAGAAACACATTTTAAGTTAGATGTAATAATTCAATTTGTAAAGCCAGATAAGTAGATACGTTAGGGGTATACTTACTCAAGATATGGCCTAACTTCAATACAGTTAATAAGAACATGAACGTGTGCAGATTGCAATTCTTTTTGGGTCAGCCAATGCACATTCTCCTTTCCAGAGGGGCGACCGGGAAGACCGAAGATTGGCAAGGTAAACTGACTTCTTTTGTTAACATCAAATTCATTCCTTATGATTCTTGGAGTTAACATCAAATGATTGAAATAATGACTGCAAAAATGTGATGTTTCCCGATGCAAATAATGTGCACATATTGATCCTTCAACTTTAGCTTTATTTTTCACTGATCGCTTTGAATCACCCATGAATCTTTCAAAGGGATACATCCACCTGTATTGAACGGGGCCACCAAGATAGGCTTCATATGCAAGATGCACAGGTAGATGCTCCATAGAATCGAAAAAACCAGGTGGAAAAACGTGTTCCAACTTGCATAGAATAACTGGAATATTTTGGTCCAACTTAATGATGCTATCGACTCTTAAAGTTGACGCACAAATATCTCTGAAAAATTGACTTATTTCAGTTAGCGGATATAACACATGGTTGGGTAGTGAACTGAACGCAATTGGAAGCAATCGTTCCATGAAAACATGACAATCATGACTTTTCATTCCATGCAACTTCCCAGTTTTTGTGTCAGCACACCTTGCTAAATTTGAAGCATAACCATCCGGCATTCTCAATTCATTTAACCATCGACAAACCGCTTTAGCATCTTGGGAAGTTAGACTGTAACATGCCTTAGGTTTTAATAATTTTCCATTAGGCCGAGGCTTCAACTCCAACTCTTTTCTATCACACAAAAATTCCATGTCCCTTCTAGCCTTCTCATTATCCTTTGTTTTTCCTTGAACATCCATCACTGTGTTAAATATATTATCAAAGAAATTCTTTTCAATATGCATAACATCAAGATTATGTCGCAATAAATTATCTTTCCAATATGGGAGGTCCCAAAATATACTTCTTTTTGTCCAATTGTGTTTGACCCCATATCCTTCAATTCTGTATGCTTCACTGTAATCTGTAAATTTGGGCAGTTCAGAAACTCGATTCCATATTTCCTCTGGTGACAATCGCGGAGGAGGCAAATCTTTTACTCGTACATCTTTTGTGAAATCAGTCTTGTTTCTTCTAAATACATGGTCTCGTGGTAGGAATCTGCGGTGACAGTCAAACCACGAACTTTTCCCTCCAAATTCCAAAGTAAAAGCCTTTGTAAATTCCATGCAATGTGGACATCCCATTTTTCCATGCGTACCCCAACCATATAACATTCCATAAGCGGGAAAGTCATTAATAGTCCACATCAAGGCAGCTCGCAAAGTAAAGTTTTGTTTGCGAGATATATCATAGGTCCATTCTCCAATCCACAACCTCTTCAAATCATCTATTAAAGGTTGCAAATAAACATCGATTCCGGATTTAGGACTTGACGGTCCTGGAATGAGGCAAGTCAAAAACATGTACGGTTTTGTCATGCACATCTTTGGAGGGAGGTTGTAAGGGGTTACAATAACTGGCCAATAGGAATATGCAATTGCAGATGCTTGGACGTATAGAGTAAAACCATCAGAGCATAGTCCGGGCCTGACATTTCTAGGTTCTGCAGCAAAATCAGAATGTACCCTATCAAAATGTTTCCATGCCTCACCGTCAGATGGATGCCGCATAATGCCTGAAGATGTTTTGTTTGTATGATGCCATGTCATTCGACTTGCACTATGCATTGAAGCAAACAATCTTTTTAACCTTGGTATTATCGGCAAATAAAACATGGACTTCACTGCTACACGTTTTTGTTTACGGTTAATCGTTTTACTACGAACTTGATATCTCGGACTCTTACAGAACTTACATTCCTCCAGCGCCTCATCATTAATACCAAACTCATTGTCATAAAACAACATACATCTATTTATACAACAATCAGTCTTTCGTACTTCTAAACCCAACTTCGACACCAACCTCTTTGCATCATAATAACTTGTAGGCAAGTTGTCTTTCGTAGGAGTCGCATCCAACATCATTTTTGTAAAGTATTCCAAACACTGATCAGGAACATTCCAATTTGACTTTGCAGCCAATAATCTCACACACATTGATAATTTTGAATCTGCTGACCCCTCAAACAACGGTGTATTCATTTCTTTCAACAATTGGTAAAATCTTTGTGCTTCCTCATTCGGCAACTCTTCACCATCAAAATCCTGAGGTTCATCATATGTCACATTTACTCCAAATGCATTACCAACCATTTCATCGATCAGATTAAATTGTTCATCAAATTCCATATGTGATCGACTGCTTGATGCGTCTGTATTAGTTGTCTCTGCATGTACGTTACTCGGCAGTTGTTCTCCATTATATGTCCAAACCCAATAATTTTTAATGAAACCCTTCCTCTTCAAATGACGTTCTACTTCCTTCACGTCGACAACATTCTTGTGCAAATGCCCACGTGATAAACCCTTTAACTCCTTCCTCAAAATTTGCCGTAAGTCCACGTCTGCCTGGTAACGTTATATCGTACATCCAACTACGATAGTAACGAAAATATTCCATACTGCACAATTGTACTATATATCATTTTAATAAAATATGTAATTTAAATCTATTTTTTCTATTTCGACACCAACCTAATAAAATATGTTCACTAAAATAATATATTCATTAAAGTATAATATATATTCATTATTTTTAAAGTAAAATATTGACTCATATAAAGTAAAATATATTCATTATTTTTAAGATTATAAGTTATAGGTATTTAGTATAAATAATTTGCCAATGGTATTAAAAAAATTATAGATTGTAGACTATTGACTCATATGTGTTCAAAGTTGACATTTCAAATGCTAATACGTGTTTTAGTTCTAATACGTGTTAAAGTAAAATATAAATTCACTAAAATAATATATTATACTAATATATATTTAAAGTAATATATATTCACTAAAATAAAATCTGTTTTATATTATACTAAAATAATAAATTCACTAAAATAATATTTTTCTATAATTTATTTTTCTAATAAAATCTGTTTTTCTATATTCACTAAAATATTTTTTATTATACTAAAATAATAAAGTAATATGTATTCACTAATATTTTTTATAATAAAATCTGTTTTATATTATACCTTTCTGTTTTTCTGTTTTTCTAAAATAAATATTTTTCTAAAATTCAGTTTTTCTAAAATAAATCTTTTTCTATAATTTAATACCATTGGCAAATTATATTCACTAAATACCTATAACTTATAATCTTGAAGAAAAAATTTAAAATCTGTTTTATAATAAAATCTGTTTTTCTATATTCACTAAAATATCTTTTATATTCACTAAAATAAAATCTGTTTTATATTATACTAAAATAATAAATTCACTAAAATAATATTTTTCTATAATTTATTTTTCTAATAAAATCTGTTTTATAATAAAATCTGTTTTTCTATATTCACTAAAATATTTTTTATTTTACTAAAATAATAAAGTAATATGTATTCACTAATATTTTTTATAATAAAATCTGTTTTATATTATACCAAATATTTTTCTGTTTTTCTGTTTTTCTAAAATAAATATATTTCTAAAATTCAGTTTTTCTAAAATAAATCTTTTTCTATAATTTAATACCATTGGCAAATTATATTCACTAAATACCTATAACTTATAATCTTGAAGAAAAAATTTAAAATCTGTTTTATAATAAAATCTGTTTTTCTATATTCACTAAAATATCTTTTATATTCACTAAAATAAAATCACAATACATAAAAGCACAATACCTTATAAAATTTAAAATTTAAAATCCTTATAAAAAACACAATACATATATCACCAAAATTTAAAATTTTTTAAAATCTAAAATTCTCAAAACTTCCAAATACCTCAAATCTAAAACCTAAAATTTTCTAACCTAACTCTCAAAGTTTTCAACCACAACAACACAATACACAATAAATATAAACAAATTGAATTGCTAAAATACCTCTGAGCTAACTTTTAAAACTTCCAATGGATGTTAGATTTGGAAAAAAAATAACAGTTAATAATAACAAAAATATAAAATAAAAGCTAACATAAATCAGTCACAAAACCAACAAATGTTTCACCTTAAATTTGACTCTTATGGAGTAAAAATGGAGCTGAGGGAGAGAGACAGCAAGGGAGAAGGAAAGGGGGAAGAAGAAAGAGCAAAAGAACTGGAACGGAGGAAGGATACGAAATGTGAGAGAAATTCTGGATTTTTAATTTATAAGGGATGTTGTGACGTGGTTACTGGGACGGAAGTTTGCGACGTGGCAGCTGCTTCGGTAGTTTGCGACGTGATTTACCTTTCGGTAGTTACTGACGTGGAATTATGGTCAGTAATATTCAATGCCAGGTTACTTTTCAAAGTTGCGACGTGGGATTTGTTTCGCTAGTTACCGACGTGGATTTAAGGACGCAACATTTTTCCTTTATTATTTTATTACCGTTGCTCCACTAAATGCCAACGCAACGGGCAAAAATAATTAATGTAAGTGTGTTGCGAAGTGAAACACACGTCACAACTTAATTTCTAAAAAATTCAAACTTCCCCCTCTTAAAATTCCAAATTTTCGTTCCAGATTTTTCACCTACACAATTTATTAATTAAATATGTTAGTGACGTGGTAATCACTTGGCAACACATTTTTTTCCTACGTGTTTACCACGTCACTAAATCACTAGGGAAAATTAACTTTTTTTTAGTAGTGATTGATAGGCTTAAAACTGTGAGAGATTTGGTGCATGCCGAGGCAGCACGCGAAGCAGCAGTTAGACAAGCAGAGATGGAGGAAATGAAGAGAAGACAAGCAGAGATGAAGGAGGAATTGAGGAGGAAAACAACAAAGTATGAGGAAGCAATGCAGATTACAAATGAGCGCGCACTGAAATTTGAACAATTTATGGCTTCACATATGAATCAAGGTGTTGGAGAAACAGATGAGGAAGATGAGGAGGATGATGAAGAAGTTGATTAAATATGTTGAAATATGAAATTTTTAATATGTATTTTTATATTTTATTTTTGTCAAGAATTATTTTTATTTTGATGGTGGATGTCGATATTTAATTTTATTGCACTTTTAATTATAAATTATTATATTTTACAAATTTTTAAAATATTTATTTGTTTATTATATAATTATATTAAAATATATATTCATTTATTATATAATTATATTATTCTAATTATAATAATATAATTAAATAATATAATTAAATAATATAATTATAAGTTTTAATAAAATTTATTATATAATTATATTATTCTAATTATAATGATATAATTAAAGTAATATAATTATAAATTTTAATAATAATATTATAATCATTAGCTAGGGGTTAAATCCTCACAAATTCCAAAACTTAAGACAATTTATTAGGAGCTTTACCCCTCGCAAAAGTCTGACACAAACGGCTAGGGGTTTTACCCTTCACTAAATGCATAACAGGGTGATTTAGTTAGGGGTTTATCCCCTTGCAATATTGTCTGCACCGTAACAAGCTGGATTTTTTTCATGACAATTTGTGAGGGACTTATCCCCTAGCCATTAATTTGCGATGCCCTGGTTAGCTAGGGGTCATATCCCCTCACAAATTGATGTTTTATGATGAATTTTTTACTTTAGTGAGTGGTTAAACCCCTAACTAAATACAATTTTTTATAGTGTACCGCCATTGATAAATACAGTGAAAATATTTGTGATTACCGTATTTCCGAATAAATATGGTGAAACATATTTTAAAATGTGAGCTATCCAAAATTTTATACGCATATAAATGATTATATTGTTTTAATTTGCATAGTTCATTGGGAGAAAAGCAAAAATTAACTTAAAATATAAAAATGTGTGAATGGAGTAAATCAAATTATTTGTTTTACTTCTAAAGTAAAAAAAAATAACATAGGTAATGTAAAGATGCAAAGGTTAGGCCTAGGGGTTCCATATAAAAGTTTAAGAATATCAGGCTTTCATGCAATACTGAAAAGACATGTCTATAGGCTTATTTAGAGGAGTCATACTAACATATTTCATAATTTATGGAAATAAAGATACTGCTTAGATGAAATACTCAAAGAATACATGACTTGGTAGTAAATGTTTGAATCCTATTTCCACTTTATAACACTATTCTTTAAGGTAAATTGGGTTCATTTCCTTTTTCACATCTTGGTCTTTAAGTTGGTGCAAATCTAAAAAAGCTAGCAAATTGACAATCTATGCTCAATAGGTTCTGCAAATTATTTATTTCCTTTTCAGCTAAGATTTAGAAACTATTTTTTTAAATCTAAGAAGATTCCTTTTGAAGGACTATAAAAAAAATTTCAAAATATTAAATGAAAAGACAAATGTAAAAAAATGTTGTAAACTATATTTACAAGATTATAGTTATTTTTATAGTATAAATTTAGGGATTAATATTTATCTTTTTCAAAGTATAGAAATACTCCAACTTACAAATATATATATATATATATATATATATATATATATATATATATATATATATATATTATAACATTTTTTTTAATCATTAGATCAACCTCTTAGAATTGCTTATCGTCAATTCTTGAGACTTATTTATACATGATCATAAAACATTTTAAAAACATAACATAAACTACATATAGTTAAACACAAATACATAAACATGGTAATTTAGATTTGAAACCCAAAGTGAGGGATGCACCTCCAATTAGTTCACTTCTTTCCAAAACCTTGATCAAGAAGATGATTAATCAAATCGTCAATTTCATCACCACTAATTTTGCCATCATTGTTGCCATCAAGTTTCTGCAGACAACTTTCTGCTTTCCATCCAGGGAAGTAGGCACCTAAACTTTTTAGAGCTTGCTTGATCTCATCCTTTGTATAACAACCATCTTTATTCATATCTGCTTTTTTTAACATTCCCATTATTCTCTTTCCGGCCTCGAATTCTTCTTTAGTCATCGACTTACCCTTTGTCTTATGAGCATGTGATTCGTATTCAGCATTCATCATCTTCATCGTCTCACTCTAAAGTTTAAATTTGGGGATGAAATGGATGAATATGATTTTTGAACTGCCATGAGGAGGGTTTAAATAGAAAGAGCAATGATTCGGTTGTAGTGTGGACAAGAAAAAGAACATAAATAATATTAATTTAGTTTTGCAGTAACTAATAGTATTATGTTAGAACATATTCCAGATTCTGCACTATACCTATTAAAAATATAGAAGTTAGGTGTAAGATATATTGGTTGATAGTTATATAGAAACATATAGTTGTAAGAACGTCGATTCAAATTCATCTTTAAAATTAGTAAACTTAAAAAAAATGTAAGACATTTTTTAATACACAAATAATATTAAAAAAAAAAAGCAAAAAATATTTACATGTAGTATCATTTTGTACACTAGTTAAAAGAAGTGTTGCAATAAATAATTACAATAAAAATCCAGACAAGATAAAGGGAGGGCTCTAAAATCCAAAAAGAATGACAAACTAAAATAGAAGAGAATTTTCTATTGCATCTTAGATGTTTCTTATGCATTATGTGAATTTTTATATATGTCTCTTGATTTTGGAAATTATCTTCATGCGTATTTATTTCTGAATAAACGTTGACATATTTCAGAGACACATTTCCGAAACCATTTTAAACATTAAAAACATGTTACTTAGACACCATTTATATATGAATTGTTCCGGAGATACATATTTGGTAATTTTTCAAAGATACATCTCCGAATTGTATCAAAACAATTTGTTTTTTACTATAAGTTGTGTATTTGTTTTCAGATGAAGTAGAACACGATCTAAAATAAATAAATAAATAGACATACATAATAATAATAATCTAATATTGGATAAGGTATAACAATATATGTAGAAAATGTCGTACAATCAAAATCAAAAATATGATAAAATAATAAAAATAAAGCTGAGAGTATAGTAATACAACAAAATAATAATAGACTACTACTGGGTGTGTCTCACAACATCTCCTTTGCCTACTCTGCCTCCTCGGCCATCAATCTCCATGTCCTCCGACTATGCCTTCGATACAACAGTGTCTCATGCGCCTCCGCCACCATGGCATCTAGGACGCTCCTAACAGCAAATCTCTTAGGGAAGATACCCTCGTCAATGTCTGCCAGCGCAATCTCTACTATGCGACAACACCGAGGTAAGACATCATCTGTAAGATTTAGCTGAACTTACTCCCCCTCTAGTATCTCATGATGAGCTGGTCTCGGCGAATCTCCTGGAGCAATCAGCACCATGTACGAATGTGACACCCTGAAGAATCACCTGATGTATCTGTTGATGTAGCTTCAGTCATTCGACGTTATGGTAGCCTATGCCTCCTCCGAAACCAGATAACTCTCATAATCACTAAACATCCCCTCTATCTTTCTATGAGTCAAGGCGGGAGGAGCAGAGACAACATAGTGTCTAGGGATGGTCTAGGTGTACCTAAATTGCCCCATGACGTGCTCGGGCAGGTGAGGAGCAGTGATACGCGATCCGCAGGCCAACCATCCGAAGTATAGCAATATCTCATCAAATGATCAAGTCTAATGGTGATCTACATAGTTGTTAAAGTGCATGTCTTCAGCAACCAAATGGTCAAGGTAGACTCTGAAAGGCTCGACTGTTTGGTTCTCTCTCAGTGGGATAAAATCACGGGTATGCAGCATGTTCTTAGTGTACTCATGCACACTCGCCTAGCCAGCGATGCGCGGGAAGTGCAGGAGGATCCGAGCCTGAAATGAAAAAAAATCAAGGATAAAGAATTATTGGCAATGGTTTCGCAAATATGAAATGAAATTGACAAAAAAATTCAAGAATAAAAAATTATTACCACCAGTAGTGTCACACTGCCTATGACCTGCTTCGTCTTCCACTGATATTCATCTCTCAACTTCGAATATAGATAGCACAGACAAGCCTCCCGCCACTTGTACTCGTGGATCTGAGTTAGATCTAAGAAGTACTAGAAATGTGCAACGTCAGTATAAGTGGTACTCGTGTCTACAAAAATGGAAGTTCCAAAAAAAACAGAAAATATACCCTCAAAGCACGAGTCCTGTGTACCGCCACCTACTCAGCATCACCATGAGCCTGTTGTGCAGCAAGGATCTCATTATCATATCTCTCCTTCAGAAACTCAAATCTAGTATGAGCACCCTTTGTCCTATCCACCTCCTTAATCTCCTTCCCGGGATCAGCCCCTAGATGCTCTACCATCATCTAGATTGCCTCATCTTTGGTCATCCTACCATGATCGAGGAATCTCCCCCTGATCAAAAATGTAACAAACAAGAGACACCATCTAGTGTGATAGACATCTCACCATGCGGGAGATGAAGCGAAGACATCTCATAATATCATCTATCCATGAATGCATTAAGCATCTCGTGGTTGACCAGAGTGTAACCAGTTATGCATAGGTCCTTCAGGCCAAATAAGGATAAAACTGACTGAAACCAATTCTCATCCAATTAATCTAAGCCAGCAATCTTCCTCCCATGGATAAAAAACTTTTGGGGATCACGCACCTAAAATTTTCCAGAAATAATCAATGTTATTAATAATCAATGTACAAAATAATCAATGTTATTAATAATCAATGTACAAAATAATCAATGTCAACAATTAAAATTAACGTAAAAAAAAAATCCAACTAATGCTACCTCTCTATCCCAGATATGTCTAGCAGTGTGGTCTAGATACAGAGGAAGTAAGGAAAAATCAGATGGACCTCCTCTAAAACCCTCTAGCTTGGCATCTGCAAAAGCCTTACCCTCCGTAAGTGGAACTGGATTAGCAGGATCATCAATGGGAGGTGGCACTGGATTCGTAGAAGGTGGAACTAGTGAATCCTGACGCTTGCGGGAGGATGAGGGAAGTGAAGAGTTAGATGGTGATTTATGTCTCCTACAGGAAGAAGAAGAAAGTGGAAAGACCTGATATAGAGTGGTCTGAGGTGAAGCACGATCTCAGAAGTAGACAGCGCCCCAAAAGTGGAAGCCTCTGCCTGACCAAAGGTATTTGCTGCCTCTGGAACCTACTGGCTCTGCTCCCGCCGAACGGATGTGAGTTAGGCTACCTTATCATGTCTCAGTCTGTCGACTATGTCAGCCATTATGCATGTAAGTAAAATTAAGGCATATCATTAGTGCACGCAAACAAAACACACAAACAAGAAAATAAAAAAAACGTAGTGCAAGAAATTCTAGAGATGCGTCTCTGGAAACACTATAAAGCAATAACATTGAACAATTCTATAAATACATATCTGGAAACACCATAAAACTATTAACTTTTAAGAGTTCCGAAGATACATCTCCAAAAATTACTAAAGTATATGAAATTATGAACATTTCTGGAGATGTATCTTCGGAATATTGTGCAACTCAAAGGTCGCGGCAATGGCGTAATGTGGCTCATGCAAGTTTAAAAAAAAACATGATCTGATCACCATTTTGAGCCAAAAAAACAAGTCATACACTAAGTCTAAACTATGTTACATGCAATTCCTACAAATTTCTAACCCTAATCATTGATTTCTACACATTTACACTAAAACTCAAAATTTATCCGAAAACTAAAAAGTTTACCTAAAATTTATGGTTTTGATAATGTTGAATGATTTCGTTGATGATGTTTGTTGTTTCTTTAAGTCTTGTTCGATGAAATTTGATGTTGTGAACTTGAAGTGTATTGAGGTGAGTTTAAGGTTGTGTGTGAACAAACTATGAAATGAGGGAGGAGAATAGTCTGGCGCGACTTTTGCTCCAAATTGTTCCAGAGATATATCTCTAAAATATTCCAACGTTCACTGAACTTTGGGTGCGTTCGGAAATGTATCTCTCGAATCAAGGGGCATATATGGAATTTCATATGGCGCAGGGTTCTATAAGAAGTTCTCAAATAGAATATATTAAGATAGCACTATCTGGCTGGAACCGCCACGGAACCTCAGACCAAACAACTCATAAAAAGGATAGAAATAAAATCAAGCTTGTCCAAGGGTTAGAAACAACGTACTTATAGAACCGCGTCAACACCAAACCAACAGAATTTGTCCCACTACTACGAATAAGTGACATTATTTCAGTTGGTAAAATAATTTTACCTCAAATTTATGGGTGATGTAAAGAATTGTGTCATGGAAAGTGTCTTATCTTTTTCTCTGGTGCTTTGTCAACCGGGGGAGAAATCTAGAACCAGTAATTGGTTTGATCCCCAAAATAATTTTTTTGTATTTTCAAGCGCGCCCAGGCCCGACCCTAAGGGTAAGCCATCAAGGTTACCACATAAGGTCTCATTTCTTATATCTATATATTAGGTTTTAATGTTTATAAAAAAACATTAGGTTTTAATTGATTTTTGACAATATTTTTTTATTATGACATCTTGAAATTGACAAGATTTTGATAAGTTGATTTGATTATTAATTAAAATTTTATTAAACTATAATTGATTATAATGATTTAACATTTTAATTTTATTAAAACATTATTATTAAAAAGATTATATTTTCAATTTTGCCTCAAGTCTCAAGGTGGGTTGGGTCGGCCCTGAGCGGGTTCCACATTTTCCCTCTATTTTATGTTAGACTTGAGGTAATATATTTAGTCTTATTACGTTGGTTTTAGGAAACGACCGAGGGTAAAACCCTTGTTTAATATTTTTTTAAAAAAATTTTGCAAAATTCTCATTTGAACATGTATTTTTTTGAAACAAAATTAAACCTGAATTATTTTGAAATTGAATAGAATGAATTTTTTGAAAAATAAAAAAATAAAATGAATAGTTTAAAGTATAACATAACTTAAACATAACCTTAACAGAATAAAACTAAAATGACACAATACAAATTCTCTTTTTACAACAAAACTAAAACATATACAAATGATTAACTAACGAAGACAAAAAAACAAAGTGGAAATTCTTGAACAGACGTTCTAAAGTCTTAATCTGTGAATGATAATCGGTCGTTAAACACCTATAATTT